ATCAGATTATTTCAAAAGGTTTCCAGACAGATCTCTTAAATTAACTCTAATAGAACAGCAGTAAAATCTTGTCGGTTGAATTTTGTCATATTTTGTTTTCTGTTTTTGTTTTCCGCTGAAGGGAACACAGCCCATAACTCTGCAGTCAGGCATGTAGAACTGGTTATATTATACTTCAGACAAGACAAACTGCAGACCCTGAGGCAGTTTCTAATTCATTTTTAATTTGCCCAACATTGTGTCATAGGCTTGAGTCAACAAACTTTTTCAGCACACTAATTACATTTCAAATGCCAATTTACTGCCTAGTATTGACACTGACATGAGGATATGTTGAGAGACGAGGTCAAGAGGGCAAGGATACTTTCTTCATTCCCTCACTTGGAAGGAGCGTTCACAGAATTGACTATAAAGAAATCAAGGCTGTACCAAAGTCTCTTTGAAAAGTTGAAGCAATGCCTTCTATGATGCAGATATATTATTGTAGCACATCAAATTTGAAGTGGCTCAGGTTTGTCACAGTTTGAATTAATTAACTAAAGAACAAAATATCAACTTGCTGAATATATTTCAAAATAGTATTGTTTTCTGAACTTAATATTGTTCAGTACTGCTGTAGTCACTTCCTTTTTGTGCTGCAGTAGACATCAAAACCACATCATTGTCAGCTTAGACTTACTGTGAGCTTTGTCCATTCTTTAACTTCTGATGTAGTTCCGTCGACATTCTACAGCGAAGACGGATTAAATCTAATTCAGATGGTCTGGCCTTTTCCCAAAGCATTGTAAAAAAGAATCTGCAGTCGAAATGTGAGACCAGCATTTGCTGCATCTGACATGTACAAATCCTTACCAGAGTATTTTCACAAGCTGGTCTGGTTGGGGAGCTCATGTTGCCAATACCTGATTCAAAAGAAGCCTAATCCAAATGGGCCAGGTCACGTGGAGCTTGTTGCAGTGATCCCTCCCTAATGCTGACATAAGCTCACAGTGTGATTTAGAGACCCAGGCTGGTTGCCGGTGCGGGAGGGATCGATGCCCTGTGATGGAAGAACGGGGGGCTGTAAGCTTTTTCTCCACAGATATCAGCATTAGATAACGGGGCAAAGCACTAGAATGCCCCCCCCCCCCCCCCACCCCCGCCCCTTTCAATTCAAGAGAAAGTTGAGCTCAGCACTTTCTTTCCAAGTGCTCTTTTGTGCTGGAGTCATTACTACTTCTTTCAATCTGCCCAAATGAATTCTGGGGCCTTGTAGCATTGTTTTGCGGATTTGTTATTTTTCTCGTCAGCTGCTTGCTTTTTTTATGTCAGGAGCACAATGCGGAGCTAAGAATCTCTTCAGGGCACCGTGTCAGCATTCACTACAGATAATAGAGGCATAAGGATCAAATAGTTGCACAAGTACACACACACACACACCAGATTCATTTTTGCGCACATAAATGACAGCGCACCTAGATTTAGTAACCTACTTTGTCATCACAAGTTACTGCCTTCAGATGCAGAGTTCTTCTGCATATTAAATCATGGCCAATGTCGCCTGTTTACTCTTTTACAGTAAATATAACTTCATCCATTTTTCATATTGTCCATTATTCTGCCGCCTGTTCAGTTTACACATCGTGACCAACTTCTCAACCCCTCCTTCACCCTGCACACTTTGGATGGATGAAATCCATTACCTATTGCAGCTGCCTTGCAATGCCCTGTAGGCATCCTGCCCTGGTCCTGTCAGCCTATCATATCTCCTACTGATATGTTTTTGTTCCCCATTGTCCTGTTGTAAGGAAGGCCTGCTTATTTACTGGAATGTGCTGCTTCCTGCCTTGTCATCCAGGTAGGTTGTTCTTTTGGTTTTGACAGCCGCTTGATATTGCCTAACAAATGTTTTTTCGTGGCAAGAGGATGGGCATCTTGACAGGTGAAATCCTTCTCACACAGAGCTAGACTTCAGACTAAGGTTGTAACAATACATTGCAGCACAATATATTACAATGCAAAAATGTACAATGGAGATTAGTATTATTATCTGTACTAATTATAACGTAATGCAATTGAGCTGCTCATGCTTAACTGAGTTGAGATGTAACAAGTACAAGAATTCTGCATACATATTCAGAATACAGAAATTAAGTATCTGGATTCAGTCCTAGTCACATTTTGTGGAGGTAGTACTCAGAATACAGTTAGCTTTTAAATTATGAGTATACTTTTTTAATACCCACTAAATTGTTTTTTCTTTAAAAGAAACACCATCAGTGCATTCATTTGTTAACTATTTTAAAATCAGCACACAAGTTCCTGCTAAAGCCTGAGTAGACTGATAAATCAATGTGATGATCAGTTATTAATCTAATTGTTGACTAACTGAACTTTTGTAACCTCATTTAAATAAGTGAATTTTTAAAAAATACTGAGAAAATACTGAGTTATTCAGCACAATTTTTCATTAGGTCAAATGGAGGTTTTGCCAGTGTTCTGTAAAGCATATCCAACTACTGAGCAACACCTGCAGAAGAGCACATTTGTGAACGGATAATGTAGATGTCAGTTGTGTTGTTTGAACATCATCATCTTAACCCACACCAGCAAATTCAACATCGTACGTCACACTCCCAGCTTTAGTCTCTGTAACACTTTACTGAAGGGCAGCATTCGTAAGGCTACATGATGCCAAAAGCCTTTCATGACTGACCTAAACTGACATAAACTTACGTACACTTTTATAAAGGCTTATTTCAGTTGACATGAAGGCTTTTCTATTTTGATGTCATTTAACCTGAGCAGGTGTTATGACAACATACGTTTGTTGGAATAAGTCTTTGTAAATGTCTGTATGGGTTTAGGCCTGTTGTCTCATGAATGCTGCCCTTCAGTAAAGTGTTACTCCAGTCTCCTTAGTAAGTGAGCAGTGATATTGACACAGCCATAATTTTACTTTAATCACATTTTGTTCAAAATATTGTGAGAATATGAAATCTTGAACCCAGTATTGAGAATTGAATCGTGAGCGTATTGTTACGCCCTTACTACAGACCGAACGCTAGGGATTTCCCTGGCCTACTTGTATTTGTGTCTGAGTCTCAGATCGTGTCCTCATTCCCAGGCTTATGTTGCTCATCGTCGAGACTGCAGACGTGCACTCATTTGGTGCACTGTGGCCACCAGCTCATGCTCTTGCCTCCCATGACTCTTAGCCAGCTCATCTGCCCTATCGCACCACAGAGGACTGAAGCAGATATATCATAGCACTGGAAAATAACAAGCCCTCCAACTGCATGTGAACCACAGTCTCTTTTAGCTTGTGGTGGTCGTCCTCTCTCTCTGTCTCTCTCTCTTTCTCACTGCGTGTAAACTTTTGACCTGCTCACATGTAATGAGTCTCCATGCTGCCCTCAGGAACCTCTTTGGCTCGCTTTGATATATGTATATTTTGTTGGAGGGAGGGAAGAAGGCTCAATGCAATTTGCCACTTACTGGAGCGGAGACGAACAAACCCTGGCCTTTTGTCTTGGCTCCAAGGGAGACTCCAATCTCGATGGGAAAGCGTTTCCCGGCAGAGCCTCAGCCAATGAGTCAGAACGCTTTGTCAGACAGGCCATACTGTAAAGAGGCTGTGTTATCAGCCTGCAGTCGTGAGAGTACTAAGGTATTCGCCTGATTGGAGTGCCAAGCCGTTTGTTGCTTATGGGACTTAAAAGTGTTAGATAAAGCAGGTTAGGCAGCAAGTGCACTTTAGAAAAAAATGTTGGCAGAGATTGAGGAGAGATTAGCCGTGAGTCAGGCCATGTGAAGGAAAGATATATGAGAAAGAGCCAGGACAAAAGGAAAAGCAAAATGAAAACAAATTATTAAATAATTATTAAAGTAGGGAAGTTAATAAGAGTTTATGTGGTATATATATATGTAGTACTGTGCAAACGTTTTAGGCACCTCAGAAAATTATATTTAAAAAGACATTTATCTGAACAGGAAGTGTTTATTTGTTCAGCATAATGGTTTTATCAGAATAATTACAAATAATTTTTATACAATTATGAGACTCCGCACATTACAGTGATTTTATCACGGATTAAGGCCTTTATTAGGAAATTCTAAAATGGAATGCCTGAAATCCCTTGATAAAATTACTGTAACGTACATCCTTACTTATTGCTTTTATAAAATGTCAGACAACATAAAATATAATGAAATACATGATTTTTCAATAAGTATAATAATATCACAAAATGCATATTGACATGTAGTGCATACATGCACTGAAGTGCGTAATATGTCTAACAAATATCCATTTGGGATTCAGCCACATGTACACAATTCCATACTAGACCAATAGTGCACTGTGTGGGTGTAGAAGCCAGGATTTCATAACTTATATTGGGCACTATGTGGGAAGGTTTGAGTTTCAGCCTGGGTGTGATACTTTGGCTCAATTAGTCCTTATTAAATTCAATCAGGTGTGCTACTGATGGAAGTTAACAGATCTATGCAATGACAGGGGGATACTAGAGCTTCTCATAACCAGATCACAAGATATCAGCTGCTTTTTTGAAAATGAGAAATTCTTGTTACATTTTTACTGCATTAATGTTTTACATTCATTCTAATGTTTTATGGTTTTTTACCGGCAAAAGCAAACTCGCTGTGAAGATAAATGTTTCTGTAAATCAGTATATCATTTTTCTCTTGTGTTTTGCCCATTAAAATGAAGCCATTTTTCTCATGTTTACCACTCTCATAAATTTAGATTGAGTACTTTATTTTAATATTGTCTTGTATTTATATTATTTTCGAGCACTTTCTGTCCAGTAAGTAAAAAGCAGAGCTGATGAAATGTACCATTAGTGAGATGAATTGTGATTCACTTGTCCTCTAGGAAATATTGAACTTTATTTTTGCAGTTGCTGTAAAACTGTTAAGAGCTTACAAAGCAGATTTGTGTTATTCCTCATTCATAACAGTCCCACTCATTTGTTACCATTGATTTCCTTCTGCCGCAGACACGTGATTCAACCGCCTTCTCCAAAAAGGCCAACAACACTTTCAACATTGTGGGAACTACGTACCCGATGAGCGTGGGAAAAGACCCCGGGCTGACGACCATCGCCAAGAGTGCCACCACCCAAACTCCTGCTCAGCCCCAGCCGGTGCGAGAAGTGCGCCTTTCCAGGATGGATGGCGAGTACATCGTGGAAGGAGCAAAGAAGTCATACAATCGTGTCAGCAAAGTGGACAAGATCTCACGCATCATCTTCCCAGTGCTCTTCTTCATCTTCAACCTGGCCTACTGGGCCACTTACGTCAACAGGAAGCCATCCATTACAAGGTCCAACGGCCAGAAATGAACCTGAGACAGACGAAACCGACCACAGAAACGACAAAAAATAAAAGAACTGCCAGTCAAGTCTGGAGTAGCCATACAATGCTACCGCGTTCAGTTTGCTTTTATTTATTTATTATACTTGTGATCTTGTTGGTTTACTTTGGTTTTATACCCTCATGTAGATATCAGCGGCCCATAGAAACTTTTAGATTTGTTGTTTATAGGAGGATTGTTGTATGCTAAAGTCTGAGTAAGCCATGTCATTATTCGTCACTGAGAGTGATGGTGGAATATGAACAGTTTGCTTGGTGCCACTCCATTCAGGATGATCACAAAGCCATCTAGTAGGCTGCACGCTCTTACCACACACTGTACATCATCAGACAGAAAACTCTGAGCCATCATCGGTCGTCAGTTGCCATGGCGAATGCCTGTAGCCTTCAGCAGCCAGCAGCAATGTCCGTAGGTGCATCATTAATAATCGTCAGTGTCTGCTCTTGGAGACTCAGCTGACCTAGAGCAATATCATCTAGAATTGCTTTCTCGTCCCTGTGGGTTCTGTCTCTGTGTTTTCCAGTCCGGTGACTCTTATTGTTTTAACAGCCCAAGTAGGCTTAAAGGTAAAGAAACTGTGTGCCTTTCTCAATCCCTTTCCTGTTGAGATGAATCGTTTGTCACACATTGACATCGTCTTCAAGCTTACCCTTTCCCAGGAAAAAAAAAAGAAACAAAAAAAAACAGTCCACGTTAAATGAAATCCAGTAGGCTCGTCGTAAACTCTGCTGAGAGCGTTTCTGTGCAAGTTGATTTAATGCAGGCAACTCAGTGTAAGGCACTGTGCCAGCCTACTTTACATGCCTATTTTAGTCACCACCTGTGGCGTATGTTTAAAGTCAGAAAAACACAAGGCGCATCATGCAAATGATAGCAGTATGCTGTGATGCACTTGCGTAGTGATTTTTTATTGTTTTGTTTTTTTTTTTTTTTTTCAGGTTTGGACCAGTACCAAATATACAGTAAACTAATGCCATTGCTTCACAGTGAAGTTCAGATTGTTTATTTTAATTTAAATATAACATTAGATATTTTCAGTTAATTACACATTTGTGATTAGTGTTTGTGTTTACGTTTTGTTTTGCTGCTACTTTCAACTCTGCATGAATTCACCTTGTATTGTGTACATGTATTTTGTGGCATATTGTTGATTTTACTTTTGCAATGACAAATCACAACATTGCTTAACTGTTTCACGAAACATTAGACACAACCTAGAAGTATTACGACAAAAGGCAGATTACTGTGCAATGTCATCATAAAGGGCCAAACTGTACCGCAACTAGAAATTGGGTTTAACGTGATGTATGTGATTAGGTTTTGCATAATGTCTGTAGTTTCCCAGTAACTACTGTGACTATTTCAGTTTTACTATACATTAATGTTAATTTCACTAAATGTTAATGTTAATAAGGAAATGTGCCAAACCATAATGAACTTTTTGTGTTCAATACTTAGAAAGTGCCAGGTTTACATGTGAATTTTAAATGAAGACATTTTTTTAGATGAATAAAAAAAAAGTTGCGTAACGTATGAACGTATGTGACAGCAAGCTATATTAAGCAAAAAAACATTAACTTGACCATTTCATTGTTTCCATGAACCTCATTATGCCAGCTATTGATCGATAGCTTCAAATCTGTTCACTTGTCATTAACACATGAGAGAATTTAATTGGACGATTGAAAGATATTTTTTTAGGTTGTATGGAATGCGAAAGGAAGACGAGCGTCGTCCATATACGCCTCACGTGCTGTATTAATAGTAGAGTAATGCATGACAATCTCTTCATTATTGTCCGTCACCTTCAGTTACGCTATAGTGTCATATTTTAGTATGAGGCCTAAAGTCTTTGTATGTCATAGTGATCCTCCAAATAGCTTTCTTTGGAGTCTGTAGGTTCCCTACTGTCTCTCATGGGCTTTGGTAGGGTTAGTTCAAATGATCTTGGTATTGTTTGTTGACACAAATAGTGTAAATCATAAATGAAATATCATATCTGAGGAGTATATTTATATAGGAATATAAACATCTATTTATGCTAATCACATAAACAAGATCATACATGATATACGTTTTATACAGTATAAGATATAGCCTCTATAGCATCAGTGCAAATGTACAAAATCAACAATGGGTAGAGCAATGTAGTGCAATGAATAGACCAATTAAAACTATATTCAGATCTAAGGCCAAGTAAAAAAATAAATAAATAAATAAATAAAAGTTGTGATATTTTGTAGATATTGTGAATCCAGTTTAAATAGGGTACTTGGAAACTGTAGTCTGTTGAAATCTTGTAAACAGCTCTATAACTTTACTGTCTAACAAATGCACACAAAAAGTGCTGGGGAATATTTACAGTACTCTAGCTCTGTACTTTTATGAACGAAACGAATGGGTTGACTGAGTGCAGGGGGAGTGATGCTGTGTTGACATTTACTGTAATACATGGATAATTCAATTTCTGACCAAGCCTTTGAAAGATATTAGCATAAGTTTGTCACTGCTGATCTCTTAGTGTAATACTGCCAGTGATGTTATTGTTGCTAGACTAGCCCGAGGTAACTAAGCGTATTACAGTACATCTTCAACTTGGCATTGCTTTGAAACTCCCTTGTTTTGTTGCTTCGTATGGTGTTTTTCATGGTTCTGGCTCTAGCTTGTTAGCTGCTCTCTTCTGTGTTGGCTAATATGGCTAGCCAGACTCTTGCTCTGCCAGTCGTACTGCCTTTGTGTGCACTTTTGTCCCTAATTTTTACTGTGAAGATGCAGACGTTCTGTCTGCAAGGCTTTCCTGTACATACTGTATGAAAGAAGAAAAAAAAAAGTACTCTTTCAATTTTACTGCATGTCCCAAAGCATCAAAGAATCAGTACAGCTTATGTTTGAACAGGCGAACTCTGGTAGATCTTATATTAGCCAGCTTGCCAGTTTTCCACATGATTTTTTTTTCAAGCTTGGGCTAGATCTGTTGAAAAAGGCCCCACTATTCACAATATATAATAGACCACTGCAGGGAAAGCCAAGGACATTGTATGTTCAGTGCTTTCAAGCTTATATATAGAGGGTTGAGTACAAAGCTACTCCTAGTAGATGAAAAATGTCTGCCAGAGTTGTTTGGTCTGTTTTAAAAAAGCTGGCTCGTTGAAGTATGAATCTCGTGCCTCTTGGTGGTTAGTCGTGTCATGTGAGCTGTGCTCTGGCGCATGCAAGTCTTTGTGGTGTTACACTGTGATTATATACTACAAGGTGAAAAAGGACGAGGAGCCGTCCTATGCGGAAGACAGAGTGAAATCTGCACAGACCTTGACAGAGTTCTTTATTAGTGGCATTCTAAAAAATAAAGGTGCCATAATGGTGTTCTTTGGAGCAATGTCATAGAGGAACTGCTTTTGGTTCCCTAAAACCTTAACAGCAAGAGACACGAGTGACAACAAAAAAAAAAAAATGCTCACATTATAATCAAGGATAGCTGTCTGTGCTAGTTGCAGCAGAGCGTGATGCCGTTTTTAATGGTAGAGATGCATTCCACGTCAAGATTGATGAGGGCATACTCATCCATAAAGTGGAGAAATAGAGCAAACAAAGACCAAATAAACGGATTATTTTCACAGGTGGCTTTTAATAAAAAAACAGAATATTGTTACAAATAATACGTTTTATTTAGTTTACAGGATTGGAACATATGTACCCAAAATATCCTTACAAAATGGGTTTATACACTGACAAGAAAATAACATAGTTGGGATACTAACCCATTTTAGTTGAAGTCCTGTGCTACTTTCTGGTAGGGCTGTGGTTTGTTTATGTTGCCCTTGACGTTTCCACTGTAGACATCTACTGAAGGCTTTGCACTGAACGCTTGCACTAATTCAGAAGCTAACACTGGAGCTAGTCAGTGCAACGTTATAGGATAAGGAAGGTTTGTTGTCTTTTAGACAAGGTATTTCAGCAATGTTTAGTGAAACAATACAAAGAATGGCCTGATTACGGGTGCATTAATGTCTTGTTTTATTAATGTTGTGTTGTACACTGTACAGTTCTGTTTAATCTGGCTGATTTATCAAGCTATCAGCAGTTATATAAAAAACTTTTTAGTTTAAAAAAATAACATTGATGTTATTTATCGTTAGACATCATTTACAATTATTTTTAGCAAGTACAGCAAACTTAATTTAGCTTAGTTTAGAGCCAGCATAAGTCTGCCTCTTAGTAATTTTGACATTGATACATTCTACATAGTTTCTAATCCATCCTACAGATGATCAGGAGAGTGTGTGTCAGGCATATTCCTCAAAAACATCTTCCCACCATTTCTTAGTCTAATAATTCAGACTAATTTGCTGCCACCACCGTTCTCACTGCGTGTTTGTTTTGAGAATTGTTCCTTCACTTGACAGCAGAGAAACATTTAGACATGATTGTGACTGACTGAGAGGTGTATCAGTCAAAAATGAATTGAGTGGTTTCAACTGAGTTGAATTGATTGGCTCCTTGGGGAACCATAAGAGGTTCGTCTGTGCTTCCACTGCAAAAAAAAAACCTTTTCTCACCTTTATTTTTAAGAATACACCTTGCATAAGGACAACTTGTCAAACTACACAAAGGCCCAGCAGATGCAACCCATTCCTCTGTGTATAAATCAGATTTTGTGGACGAGGGTGAACAGTTTGTCTGAAAGGTAGTCACGAAGATGCATCTGTCGTATATTGCAGCGCCATAATAGTCAGAAAACAGAAATGAGAATGGTGCGCTAGAATAAAACGTCAATTGATAAAGCTGCCTGCCTCAAAAACAAACTGTTATGTTTACGACTTGCTGCCTCAGCCATACATCATGATTATTGCCAAATTATCTGCCGTGCCAAATGACCTTTCGAGACAAGTGCAGGGGGAACTGATTTGCCCGTGGATATTGCATAGTTGTGTGGGTGTGCGTGTGTATCTGTGTGTGCCTCATGCTTCA